GGCAGCCTGCTCCACGTCCTTAGCAGCTTTTCCAGCTATTAAAGGCACCAGCATTGAAAGAGAGTCTGCAGCTTCTTTATCCTCTGTCGGAGATGGGCAAAACCCAAGCGAGCGAGACCTGGCCCTTAAGTGCAACAGCGCAGGGAAATGTGCTCTTGACAAACAGTAGGGAAACCTTTTTTCCTGCCACTTGCTCAAATTCACAGCGGGGTTTGGTCCTCCTTGCAGCCGAAAAGCACATTTTCTATATAAAAATATTCAAGGGAAATACAATGTTGAATTTACAGGATGTTTTTAAAATAATTACATGCTGTTGCCTATCTCCAGAAGAGTTTTTGCCTCTGCTATGATATTTTGCTAATTTTATGCACTACAATTAGAAATTAGAAAAAAAAAAGACAAGAAAAACAATACAGCTGGTATTTCTTATTAAAATTCTTTCAGAAATATGAAAAAAATGTTGCATGAATTCCTAAGAAAATTAAGAACATAAATAATTAGTATAACATTTGTAAAACAATAAATAATTCAACCCATAGAGCTCCACATGGTAAAGAATCCTGTAAAATGCTCATTTTTCTGTTCAAAAACTGCAGTTAATAAAAGTTGTCTGATGTTATTTAGCAGAAAGGCAAACAGTCTTTTTTATATTTGACATTAACAATCTGATCATTTGTCTCCCCAAAGAAAGCCCATACAGCTTTCACACAGACCACACAATAAAGAATAGTAATATTTCTGTTTACTGAGATATCAACTGGCATTTCGTTGCAAGTCAATGGTCTATCTTAGTGCCTGCATGCTAGACCTCAATCTGGCATCTACAAATGTCAAGAGTATAAAAAAAATTACGGGATGGAAATCAAAAGCATGCTCTAAATTCCTAAAAATCGTAACAAAGTTCACCTAAACATATTTGCTGCAGAAATCAGTACAATATTCAGCTGTCAATCTAGAAAAACAATGAGGGAGCGGTGCTGTCAGCAGGACAGGATAATAACATTTCAAGCAGATGTTCAGGCAGGGCTCTAATTCTTACAGAACTCCCTTGGTAAGCATTTAATTTCTTTATCATATGCAAGCTAGGCAAATTGTACTTCATCAAAACTCTATTGTGAAATATTAATATTTCATATTATAGCAAAACTCCATAGAATAACCTTTGTCATATTAAGCACATCAGAATTTCAAATGTCATGCTTCTGCATTTTAATGCAGCTTAAATAGCTTTTTGGCTTGGCACCATAAATTATAACTAGTTTAGTCTAAATTACTATGCTGTGATATCAAATAAAAATATACCTTTTCTAATAGATTCACTTCTATAAAATACTAACGTTATGGCAAACAATGTGTCATTGTACTATGATATTTTACCACCTCCAATTATAAAGTGAGTTGCACATAGTACAAATGTATACAACAGAACTAGCTGAAGCCTGAATCCTCATATTGCAATAACAGGACACAAAAATGCCATGTAGCCAGGATAAACTATCTACTAGCAATGGTTTCCATTAAGAAATGTTCCTGCAAGTATATTGTAAAATCTTCTATAAATCTAGTAGAAATCTAGTGAATTATATAAACACATACTATGAATAGAAAGTTTTCTCTACTGTGGTTTAGTTAAAATTTAATCTAGTTTTAATTGCTGCTTTGTTTTTAAAATCATCCATGCAACTTGCTCTCTACACAATGAAAAAAAATGGCAGAAATTAGGAGTGAAGTTAAGTCTGCATTCCTGCTGCTTCTCATAATAAAGGCAACTGTTTCCATATTATTGAAAGCGACAGCATCACAAATCAAAGCATGTCACAACACAATAAAGACGGATGCATCTGATTAATCAGAATTAAATTTTAGAAGTAAAGGCAGCATTTAAAAATCAAAGCAAACATTTCTGCCATGCCAGTTCTTCTTTATTCTAAGCAGCCTATATAATGCAGTAAGGAAACAATAAAGCCTGAGTTCAGCTGGAAAAAAACGCAATGCCTGCTATGAAGTTCTCACTCTGGCACACGACAAATTATAAAGAGGAGAGGGAAACACTTCAAATAACCTCCGACTTATTTTGATATTACGGTTAAGAATGTGAACTTTATCTTCTGACTACGGGTTTTATTTCAAGTTTTATGTGCTACACACTACTCTGTAATAACAAGTAAATGGTTCAGTGTAACAATTATGCTAAAAAAAACCTCCCACTCGTTGTTATCTTGTTTAAATAATCGGTATTTCTCATTCTGCAAGTAGTTTTCTGTTTTTCTAAGAAAGACTTAAAAGAGATCATGACTGGTATTCATTTACTGTGGATTTTATTATATGCAACTCCTTTATTTCTCACCAGCAATATCTCTTTTTTAATATCTCACCAGCAGAATTTAAAAATAATAGTTTGCAGCACAGAGTTATCTGAATAAGACAAAATACAATTTGAACCAACAGAGAACTAAACTATTGACCCTGCAGTGCAAGAGGGAAGATGTGGGTGTAGAAAAAGATGTGTAGAACTGGGCACTTTTGTTCTGCTACCTCGTTTTCCTTGCCAAGTGATAGCTGCTTTAAAAGCAGTTATTCTCATTTCTGGAACAAATCTACTTTATATTAATTAATGCAGCTGTGCAAACATGTTTAATTTTGTAAACAAAATCCTACAAATCACCACCCCCCACAGATACCTACAGACACATACAAGTACAGTAGCTTATAATTAACGCTTGTGTTATACTCTAGTAACTAGCACCTTCTAAAATATTTACAGTATTGCATATTTAAAGGCATAAATATTCTGAACAAATTTCACCTATTATATTAATTCTTTTTATGCCTCAGCCATAGTACAGTAGGATGCAGGAACAAACTTTTGCTGGATCTCTTAGGGTTAAAAACCTCACCTTTTGCTGAGTGCAATTATGCAGTGAAGTAAATACAGGTGTTTGAAAATCAAGTTAGCACAGTCCAAAACGCTTGTTTTGGGCAGACCGGCTTCCCTCCCATGGCAATGTGTGATGCTTTCCAAGCACTCGGGAACCAAGTCACTCACTCGCAGGACTCGGCAGGAGAGCCCAGCCACCCTCTCCACGGCCCGGGAGAGCGCTCTGCTCCCTGCTGAGCACGGCACAGGACTCACGGCCACAAAATCAGAAGCAGAGCTTAAAAACCAAAACACATTACACTGACTTATGTTGTTTCAAACTCTCTATTGATTATTTTTACAAAGCTATGCTAACAGAGCAGGGTCTTTGTGTAATACTAAAGGTTCACAGAAGAACTGCTGTATCTCACTGAGTTTTTCTTCCCATTTGAAATATTGATTTTCATAGCATCAATTAATATGTTGCTATTATAAATTAAAGCAATTATTTCAGTAGTACCTTGAAGACATGCTTACAAATCATGCCACAAATACTATAGCTCAACACCTATGAATGTGCACTATTGAGAAAAAGACAAAACTAGGAAAAGCAGCACTTGGGTGGGACATGGTGCTACCACAGAGAGCAAAACCATTCAAGGCTTTAGCACCTGAGAAAATCTGCTGCCTCCTACCATGGCTTGCAAGAAAAATTTGCTAAAAACATCTGTGGACTAGAATATATCACAAACACTTTTCCAATCTTTTCCTCTTTAGAGCAGATCACTAGCTGCACATTTTGCATCTTACTGCAACAAACAAAATATATCTTATAACCACTGCTTTTACCCCTCTCTCCCGTGAAAGTTCTCCATGCAAACCCCTCCAGCAGCCAGCGCTGCCACCACGATGTTAGCACCGACTCGGGGCCAGGCTGCTGCTTAGCAGAACAGCAGCATCACCTCCTCTAACACGGCCGTGCGCCTTCCAGAATTCCCACTGAAGCTCTTACCCAGCTACTGCCTGCTTAGCTCCTGAGATACACTGTAATTCATGCACAAGCTGGCCAGACTGCAAGCATAGCAGCAGTAAAACTGATTAATAAATAAATCTCCATATTGGCTACAGGTTGCCTCCAGTCTAGGTATGGAATAACTGCAACTGACAGTGTGCTCTATACGTAAGTCAGGGCTAAATGTACTTCAATGCCACTTCTGACCTAAACAGTGTTTTTAATAAGTGATTCACTATCATCCTAATTTTCTTAAGGAATTTATCCTAACAAATCCACCTTTTGTCTCCTGATAAGGTCTCCATATATCAATCTACTTTTGCATCTTATCTCTGGGCCAAGCATAAGAGAATACAGCCTCTTGGATCCAAGTTCATCTCCAAAGCTCCCTTCAGCCCATGCCATGGTTCATCACCGAATGACATCACATCACCATCACCCACACTGTTACTCAGGCCTATGCCCAAAGATTTATTTTTGATCCCATTTCTCTCCCTGCATAGCTCTGTCCCAGGTCAAATACTGTTTCTTTTCTTTTCTCAAAATTGTCCTCTCGTTCACTGCCAAAATCTCTTGTTCAGGACGCATTTTGCACACACTAAGATGCCTCCACCTTTCTGTTCCACAAACCAGCCTCAAAGTCACACCTACGTTACCACACTGCCACTGCACCTCAGTTTCAGCAGTTTATCTTGACAGTCCTTGGCATCTTCCTGAGCTGCTCAACAAAGCTGTTACTCATTCTTTTGCATTCAGATTCCTCCTAGAAAATATTTTTACTACAATACTTTTTAAAAAATAGCTGGCTAATATTGAACTGTGAAATAAAAGGGAAGAGTGCATATGCTTTAATAGCAAACAAGTCCCAAAATTGTGTTACCATTTCATCATGCTATTGGATCCTTAAAGATTCTTTCATCTACATGGTGCTTCCATGCTGTCCTTTTGCTAGCTAGATTCAACAGCAACATTTCCAAAACACTAAGATTTTTCAAGCACACACAAAAAAGGCTAAATGCTAAATATGCTTTAAAATATTTCCTTACCTTATCTGTGGAGAACATTCAGATTTTTTCAAATACATAAAAAAAAATGGCTAAATACTGAATATGGCTTTAAATACTTCCTTACCTTATCCAGGGAGAACGTTTTAGTGACAGCAAAGCCCCATCCAGCTTCAAAAGCCCTTCGAATCATTGAAGAACTAGTAGTAGGAGTTGCACTAGCAAGACCAAAAGGATTCAAAAACTTCAGTCCGGCCATTTCTACGCTGATATCTACTAAATCAATAGGTGTATAGAAGAGGGGGAGCTCTGGAGTAGATGAAACAGCAGCACCATATAAAGACTGTAAAAAAATAATTTTTGCTTATTAATTTGTATATAATTTACTATTAGCCCTGATAAGGGAATCACTTGTATATAACAACAGGAAGGCTCAAGTATATGTTAAGTTTTCAAAACACTGAAATATACACAACACTCATATACTGAACAGTTGTCCAAACAGCATTTGTGCACAAACATGCTGGAAATACCTAATAATCACAAAATAGCTATTTCATAGTGTGTATCACTAGCCTAATTCAGTCCAAAGGTTTGCAGAACTATTCTGAATAGACAGTTCCATCCTCTAGAGCAGCCTGTCTACAGTCATGGAGAAGAAAAAAAAGGGGATGGACAGAGCGACCTGTGTCCAAGCAGCCAGAGACGTAGGGACTTGTAGACAATGATGGAAAGGGCCATGTGAAAGACCACTCAGCAGCCTGACATCCGTAACTCAACAGGCTTTGAGGCCTCTGCACTTTCTTCTCCTCTTAAAAAAAATGCAGCCTATACAACAAGATACTTATCAATAAAGGCACAACAATATGAGTATATTAAGGATGACAGAAAATTAGGCTTTGATTTGGGATCAAAGAAGAACATACACTTTATGTCAGGAAACACCAAAGTTATGTTTGCTTTCTAATTTAATGGCAGTATCTCAGCCTTTTCTCTCAAAAGTTAGACAAATTCTTTCATGGTAAATGTTGCATCTAATATTGGAAAAATTGGTACAAAAAGAATCCTTTGGCATGTATGGTTACTGAACAACATCCTGACCAGGCTGTAATAGATGGAATTAACATATTTTTTCACCAGAGCATAACATCACAGCACTTCCTAGCTTTAAAAAGTCACTTCAATTGCCATCTTCCGATTTTTGAATGTATTTACTCCATTTTACCTTGGAAAACTAATGACTGCGAGGGGAGGAGGATGTTTCTGCTGCTGTTTTTAATGCCTTTTGACTATGAGATTGGTTTAGGAGGCGAGATTCCCTGCTTTTCCCTGTGCAGGCCTGCATGGGTTCATGATGCCTCTCAGATGAAAGCCTCAGCTCTCTGGTTCCTTGCACAGAGAGGATACGTTTTGGAGACGATTTCTCTGATACTGTGAAAGGACTGAAAATAGTTGAATGATGCTAGCCTAAGTTTTGAGAACTTTTCGTACTAAGTAATTGAATACTCACAAGAATAAAAACCTACCCATGCCCAAAATCCTTTGTGTTTGCCCCCATCCTGCAAGGCACCTCGGGCACCTCGCTCCTCACTGCCCACACACCCCAACCTAGACCCGGGAGGAACACAGGGCAGGCCAGTCTTGAAGACTTGCTAAGAATGGAAGTGGGAGAGAAAGGAGAAGAAAAGAGAGCAATTTCCAGAGAATAAACCATGTTTTTATAAACAAACTGAAGATGCAGCTGAAGGTTCAATAGCCAGTGGCTATATTTCCTTGCAGATTTATCTTCCTCCTTTATATCACTTCCCTATTTGCTCTATTTATTTTTTGCTAGTTTATCCTTTCAGCACAACACTTATAAGGAAAATAAATTTACTAAGCCCTGATGTGTTGTTTTCTACAGAGCAAAACTCGTTCAACAAACTCAAATGTTTTATAGGTTCCTAAAACCAAAATAATCTTTATAATGAAGGATTGTTCTGACATTGCACAAACAAATACGGGAAAAAAAGCCTGCGGGCAAGAGCTTATTTATAATACTCTTCCCTTGATTTTTAAAACAGAAAACAGAAAGTATGGCCCACTCCTCTAATTTGGTACCAACCAGCTGAGCTGAGGGCGCTGCAGGAGCTGTTGGCTGGAGCAGAAGCATCTGCTCCAGTCACTGCCCTGCCCTGACACAGCCCTGAGACAGCAACTGAGCTTTAAACCCAATGCAATTTGTGACTTTCATTTTCTTTAGGCTGAGGAAACATTTGACCACAACAATATGGTCCAACTCTGTTTTCATGCCTTTCACAGAGATAGGACTATAAAAGTGAGCAGTTTTATTACTTTTTTTTCTTCACAGAAACCTAGAGAGACCCATGTTTTCCTAAGCATAGTAGAAATCTAATAGGAGACAATTTAATAGTTCACAGTTGCCAAGACCACTCTCCAGGTAGTGGTTTGGCTCTCTAAGCTGTCTGTATCACAGCACTGGCATGGAGATTTTCTAACATCCTTCCTGGTTACCTGTTTCTGGAACAGGGCTGTTGCCTTCTCAGCGGTAAACAACTAAAATTCCAGGCTTCCTAATTTGCATTCAGGCCCCCTTTCTTTTGAAAATTGTGGTTTATTGCTGGTCTCTATGCTAGTGCCTCACATGTTGTTCACGCTAAACAAAAGGGCATTCAATTTTTCCTTCAGTTACCCTGAAAAGAAGCAGACAACCATAACTAACAGCTTCAAAGACAAGCTTCTTGGGAACCACCCATCTCTGGTATTGATTATGAAATAATGCACATTAATACATGTCTGGAGGAATACATGAGAATGGTCAGCCTTCATAAAATAATTAGCAATCATACTCTTCAAATACAAAATGCATGTACTGAAAGCATAAATTAAAGAAAAAATAATAAACCATAAAATAACATTTCAAAGCTATATTGTGTGGCATCTTAAGTGTAGTGCTCTGTCATTTGGTGATCAGCCCTGTAGCCTTTAAGGTCATCACGTATGGTTAAGCTGAGAAGAAATGCTGGAGAGATCACAGTAACAAAATAAGGTAGAAATATTACTGCAACCAAGAGAGAAAAGTGCCTTTCTAAGAGGGACTGTATGAGAAGATGACAGCAGTCTGAATGCCAGGTAAGAGAGACACATTCCACAGGTGTGAATATTCCACGGGCAGGAATGAAGCTCTGAGGTTCGCACAGATGTCCAAAGAAAAGAGGAAGATTTGTGATGTGAGAGCTGTCCTTGCTCTCAAAGGCAGGCATGAGAAATCATGTTAGTCCTGCAGTAATTGTGAATTCTCCTGAATACAACTATTCCTTATTAAATCTCATTCACTGATCAAAGAAATGGCTTCCCATACTTCATGGGTCACAACACAGAGGAGCAGCCTATACTGCTTCTGCCCAATATCATAATGTCAGTGTTGGACAAAGATGAGGGCCATCACAATCCTCGAGCTAAATAAATGATAAAGATTATTTTATGGAAATCTTCACAATTTCATGGAATGATAAAAAAAAAAAAAAGGCTGAATCCTGAAACACTGTCTGAATAATAGACAGTTGCACAGATTGCGTTGATTCTGCTTGAATCTCTATCTACTTGCAAAGATTGTTCTAGGAGGACTGACTGTACTTTGAAACAAGTTCTACTAAGCTGTCCTTGGGTTAATCCTTAACTGGTTGAATTTACAGAAACTAACCTGACACACAGCTGCAGGCAACAATATCTGGGATGAACCCAGGCTTAGCAGAGAAGGAGGAAAAATGTTAAAGAGTCAGGAGATATTTAGGCAACTAATGATGGAAATTTTCCAAAGCAAGAGCAGCCAAGAAGCTTCTGAAAATAATTACCATTTTTGAACATACGGCATTTCTGTTGGAGAGTCCTTGAGTTTGGATCTCATGCTTTGCTTGATCACATGCCAGAATTTGAGATGACTGGAGTTCCAGGGCACACATCAAACCCATCTATTTGCTTAGCTTTTTGTCTGGAGCAGGTTGAAATATGAGAAGCTGACAAAGTGCATTCAGCAAGTAGCTGGGATGGTTTGAATTCCAGCTTTTGACATGGTCTTGGGCTGATTGAGAAATATTAGGAACTGATTTTATTGTGCAAAGACTGATTGCATTATCTACAGCAAGGAGTGCAAAGGTATCCAGTGATTTTAGAAATGAGTACCTATTTCTATAAAATACAAATGCTTAGATGGAATCAGCGTACTTAATTAAATCTAATGTGTATTTGATCCAAATGTTCAGACGGCAATAAGATTGTCTTGGAATTGTGCAGTAGAGAAAAAACTTCATGAGTGTTTTTTTCCATTTTTTAACCAAATCTGTGGAATGAGCACACACATACACGTGCACATGCAGCCATCCCCACACATGCTGCACTACATATATCATAATTAAGTGCTCTTTCTCTTAAATCACAACTTTAAAAATCAAACCTTCATGCGGCCACAAAAATGTCTACTGGGTCCAAACACTGGTAATGCAAATTGCCAAATTACAGCGCTCTCCACCACAGCAACCAGATTTTACAAGGGCTGCACATCCAAATAAATGCCCCTTGGCTACCCATTCATCTAACAGCTGGAAAGGTGACACTTGACATTTGGAAACTTTCCTGCAAAGATTGCTGTAAGGCTTTCCCATTAGCTTCCTGGTGAGACTGTAAGGTCGAATAAGCTGCCTTGAAACCTGCAAAGGGTAACGGATCTACTCCAGTATCAAGCCTCCTTGATTTAAAATTCTAATTCTCAAGCCATGACTATTCAGATTTCTTCCAAAGTATTTGATACATTCCAGAAGGGAGGGGGGAAAAAAAAAAAAAAAAAAAAAAAGCGAGCTTTGAGGAAGAAGCAACATTACAAAGGAGGTTTTCTAAAAGTGATTTATGTGTTTTTAGAGGTTAAAGAGGAAGGAGGCAAAAGGGAGTTGCCCCTTCTCCTCCCATCAGAGTTGGCAGCTTCACTATGCACTGCAAAATCAAGCAAGCAGGTCAGGGATTAAAGATGTTTCACACTCAGCATTTTTATAGGGTCTAAGAAGGCAGGACACAAACAGTGCTTTAAAGTAAGTGAGAAAAAATATGCACGGATACTAACAACAAGCTTTCAGTTGAAGTATTTTTAGGACGTGAAATCAGACCTCAACAGCATGAAATTGCACAAACATGCAATCAGAGAGGCTTTGAGCAGATGGATGGGGGAGAAAGACATCGAGCTGTTAGAGTCCCAACTTCAGTTGTTCAAATCTTTCTGTGGAAGAATGAATCACGTATCACGTCTCTAAAGTTCCTTGCACTATGAACACACTCTTTGTCAGCTGGTTCTCCACACACAGCCCTGTGTCTCTGGCAGCCTTTCTGCTTCTCCTCTGCATTTACTGTATGCTTGGTCTCATGTTAGCAAAGTTAAGGCAAGGAGAGGTAACAGCTCAGCCAGCCACATGCTGGGCACACAAAGGGAAAACACAGTTACCAGATTGTTCCAGACATTTCTCAGGTAAATGCTTCCTTCATCCACACAATATCTTTTTTTTTTTGGCCTGACTTAAGTCCAGTTCATCAGTCTCATCAGAGAACGTTGGGTTTTGGTCTAACAATTGTAAGCCTTCTGTAACAGAACGTGTTTACGCTCTAAATATACTAGTATAGTAAGAACCCTTACAGGACCCTGTAAGGACCTTGTAAGAACCCTGCTGGTTCTTAATTTTACACAGTATTGAGAGATTTTACTTTTTATACTATATTTTTTAATGTTAACAAGTTGTTCCCTCCCTTAACCTGATCATCCACTTAGGATTTCTACTAATACCACGCATTGCACAGGAAGGCTGTTACCCTTGACTGGAATTCAGAGTTGGGAGGCAAAAAAAATATTGTTGGGATTTGAACAAGGCTAAGATAAAAGAACAAAGCTGGGCTTAGCTATCCAACATCACGGATGTGTTATGTGCATTTTTAATTTTTCATTTGAATGAAACTGTAATGTAAAAATCACCAGATTACCTAGGTATTAGTTGCTTAAAACATGTATACTTCATGTAAAAACCTGTAACATTTATTTTAATAATGAGGAAAAAAGTATGTTAAAGCATACAAACTGGAAAGAAGAAAATAAAATCACCTGTATGTATCTGTGCATGTACCAGGAAGCTTGTTTCCCATCGTTTACCGATTCCACTGTAGTGTTAGCGAGGCCACCAATGTCTCCCCCTGCAAACACCCAGGGCTCACTTGTTTGCATAGTTTCTGGATGAATTTCAGGGAGACCCCATCTATTAAACTTGACAGGCATCAGGGCTTCTCTGACTGTAATTAAAGTGAAAGAAAAACAAATTAACAGAACAAAGAAAAAAGTTTCTAAAAAATATCCATTATACGCTGATTAACAATCAGAAAGCAGTTCCAGTTGTTTCACTTAAACGTGAATTTACAGAACAAATTAAAAATTTGTTTAGACACACGAGCACTTCTGAGCTAACGGAGGTACATAACAACCAACAGGACTCCTGGAGAAGAGCATCAGTTACATGGAATGGCTTTTTAGCAACAGTAGGGAGTTAACCAATTCGTATGTGCCTGCAAAGCCAGCCTTGTGTACAAAATAAATGCACCCAAGTCTCACAAGAAGTGCCTGAGTTGGCACAGGCACAAGAAATAACTGTTCTTAATGGTCTTTTGGTCACTCCCTGAGAAAAAAAACTGGATATTCCAGAAACTGGAAATCACAAAGTCATTTTCCTTGGGACTGTTCGTTTGCCAGAAAAAAAGCGCAGCTGATAGTGAACAATTCTGAAGAGCCTCTTACTGAGCAGTACCAACAGTGAAACAATAATTTCCTTCCACCTCCAGCTTTGCACTGCTCTTACAATATCAAAGTGCTTTTCTCTTAAGTAAACTATCATGAACTCTTGTGAATTGTTAATACACAGCACACTTCTGAAGTTTAAAGCCAAAAGCAGTCCTTCTGTCGCAATTTCTTCAAATTCATTTAGATGACTAGAATTTACTTCCTGCACCTATTAACCCTCACAACAGAAACGATACTCTGCTGCTTTCTGACATGTGATTATTAAAGCTGATTGAAGTTTTTCAGATGTAACATAACCCCACTGGGAGATGTTATGCTAACACAATTTCGGTTTGACAAAGCAGGCTGGTTTTAACAAAAAGTATTTCTGAAAAAGATAGATTCCAGTCAGTCAAAAACATTCTGTTTAATATTTAAACTCTGAACATCCTGAAAGAAAGGCTCACTTTGAAACTTGCAGCCTATACTTGAAAATAAAAATTACAAAAGCACAAGAAGAGTCAACAATCAAAATAAAATGCTTGCATGAAAACAGCATCTTTGCTACCTTTACTTCATTGAAGTTGCTAAATTCTTGTAAAACACTCCTTAACAGACTTTCATTTTTTCATGTTAAAAAACAACATATATAAGCACTATGTACATGAATTAAAATTGTCTTCTCAAAGAATGCATATTTAATTTAAAAAATATACTGCATAGAAATAAATGGAAATACAGATAAATTGCTCAAAAAAACCATTTTACTTCTATAGTAATGTAACTTTTATTATGCAAAATTTTGCTCAGTTTGCTTTTTAACATTACTTTTATAATCACATGACACTTTAATACCACTTCATAATAATAATCACACTTCAAAATATATTTATTTCTGCCAAATCCTGATGCAATGCATCAAAATGAGTTTTTTGTTTTTTAATATAGCTTTTACTCCACAGGATCAGAAGATTCCACAATACAGTGCAGCTTAAAATTGCAGTGTGCCCCAGGGACATACCACTAGCAGATGCAGATTGCCAAGGTCAATTAAACTGATGTAGTCATGCTGTCACACGTGTAAAGAGAAACCTGCTAGCCCAAGACAAAGATACATCTCCCACATCAGCTTGAGGGCAACCTCCTAGCACTGCCCCAATGCATGCTCAAGCACAGAGCAAGCCTGAAACACATCTTTTGTGCATATCATTACGAGTATGATTTTTTCCCAGGCTCTGTATTACCCTGCATCTCCAAATCAAACATTACAAGGGTATTTTAAGGTGGAGAAAATCACTGGTTGGGAAGAATCAGCATCAGAACAATAAAAGGGGCAGAAAGGCAGACACCAGCACCTGCTTGTCCTACTCATGCTCCCAGTCTCACCATGGGCACACAAATAAACCCAGCACTCAAATGCAAAGTGCTTTTTGCATCTGGCATCGAATCCAGAAGAGCAGAAGATGATTTAGACCTAGAATCCAAATCAATAGCGCTCCTAAAATTCACAGACACAGCAGCAGCTGAACCAGAAGTCAGTATTTTAAAGTTCTAAGAATTAGGTATCAATTTTTTAGAAAAGATATAATGAAAACCAACACCAGCAAAATTTGATCTGTTTTTACTGCCAGATATATTTCATCTGTTTTCAAGACCTACTGCTTGCATAATCTCCCCAACTCAGCACACACTTTTGGCTTAACCTGGCAATATTAGTCTAATAACAGAATTGAAAACTCAAGAACTGGTTTCCTTTAAAAATTACTAAATCGCTTAAAGTTCACACCAAACAACTTCTAGATTGAGACATTTTTAAATGTAGAAAATGAGAGGTTTTAAGGGAAGTGCTGATACTGGTTGATAGGAGCGTTATTATGAATATTTCAGTAATATTTATAAATCAATGCATTAAATTTCTCTCTGTATCTCAGACTGTCTGTACTTCAAGGAGGCTTTTGATCATCTTATATTTGTCACATATAGAATAACTTCTTGCATGCAGTGGTACCATCTCAGCATGTGGTCCAGACAGTTCTCACAGGCTAAATACATACAGGCTTGTAAAGACATGTTTGGAAACCCCCCAAGGAAAACTCAGTGCTGCAGGATTTGGCACTGGCAATTTAATAGATGACTCTTGTTTCTCCAAGATAGCACTGAACCAAAGTAAAGAAAGGTGTTAGAGATAGACTGCAGATATAGTTAAAAAAAACGTAAAGCTATAATTTTTTACTACTCAGTTTGGAAAAAGATACTACCTCTGGTATCCTGCACCTACTACATTCCTCAAAATTATCTTAGAACTGTTTTGTGTTAAAATAGCTGCCCAGACATAATTCTACCCAAAGGTTTTTGAGTGCAAAGAGCACCCAACATTCTCCACTTGGAACCTCTCCTCACGGACTGGGAACTTCTTTCCTCCATCTCTATTTTTACAATTGGAAAGAACATTTCCCCTGAGGCAAGGTTGATCATGGCATCCAGAGGCTGTTGTCTTCCGTCTTTCTTACTACCCCCAAGGTTTTAGGTAAGAAGCAACGAGAGCATGATTTCGGATCAGCTTCTATTTGAATTACTGAACTCATGAAATTCCCTCCTCACAAATCTGGATCGGTGTCCAGTGCAGCAGAGGCTGAAGGCACCACTTTCCAGCTTGCATGCAGGCAGAGGGGCCAACAAGGGTCTACACGAAGCTGAGCATCTTTTCTGCCCCTTCAAAGGTGAGAGAAATTCTGAGTCCCAAGGAGGTGACCCTGAATATCAGCTCCCCAAACGGTGTTCTAGAATTTGACACTCAACAATATGTAAACAAATTGATCAGTGTTTTCATTGGTGTATGATTTAGTATAAGACTAATAAAATAGTCCTTTAAATCTCTGCATTCTCACATACTTTAAAGTTCAAAACTAACAGCTTTTCTCTTGAAAATTCAAAGTACAACTCTATGGCTACGCTGCATTCTCCTCTGTATCCTGATATTATATATAATTTGAAAGAATTCTTTTGGATGAAAGATAACATACGATCGAATTATTCTAAAGCTATCAAGTGATGCTAACAAAAAACAACGAAGAAAACTGACAGTACTGAATATATATTCCACATTTCCCATCTTCACAGAGCAAATAAACACAAATGGAAATGCAGCAGCAAATTACAGCACTTGCAAAAACAATATTAAAATATAAGTGAATACAGAAAAAATATTTTAATTAACAAAACAAATCAAATGGAAAAGATTCCTCAAATAAAGCTTTAATAGTGAGTCTGTGTGTGTTTGACTGCCATGACTAATTATGTATCCATGTAATGTGTGTTCAATTTGGGCTTATTTAAATAGCAGAAATGCTCATTAACTGCAGTATATCTGTGAAGCTTCAATAAACAGTTTAATGGTTTTTATGTTTAACCAATTTCATAAGTTCCTGTAATTTTGGCTTTAGTAGCTCATTAATGTTATTTTTGATATCCATCTTAGAGACTTTTTTACAGTGAATAGTAGCATTACTTCAGGGAAAAGAGGAAAAAACGCACTATACCGTATGTTCCTTAAACACTGATGTAAAGCTCCCGCTTCCGCGTGCCCCGGTGGCCTCACTGCTCACAAAGGCCCTGCAGAGGAAGGTGGGCACCATCCCGTCTCCCGGCCTCTTCCCTGCTCCTGGGCTGCCCCTGGCACCAAAGTGGCTCCATGGAGAGAGCGGCAGAGGCTCCGACCTCCAGAGTGGGAGAGGCTCCGACCCACGGGCTGCCTGCCGGGCACACAGGGCCTGTCCTGCACAGGGCTGGTGAGGAGGCCGCGCTGGTGCCCCTCGGGAAGGGCTGCATTTCTGCTACGAACTAAGAGGGCTCCGCAGCTTCTGAGGGAGCCACGCCAGGCTTTGGAGGCTGGCAATCGTTGCGGAGTGTGGAGCTGCTGCACTCCAACCCATTCACTAAAGCTATTTTGGGTGGAAAGTCCTACTCTGAGTGACTCAGCAGGAAAACTCCTACCCAATTCCGTAGGAATTTGCCAAATCCATACAACCCGTCCTCATGCAGCAGTCCGGAGCAGCATGAGGGCTAACACCATCCTGAGTGGGAGGCTGTGCCAGGAGGGAGAGCCCGGGTGGTCCCAGCTGGGGCTCAGTCCGGCTCTGCTTCCCGCTCCACATCGCTCGAGGCTCCAGGGATCGAGGGCCGGAGCAACCCGGCCGCCCAGCAAGGGTGTGCAAAGCAGCTCCCCACTCCCCCTGAAACGCCCCGCAGGCGGCAGCCGCATGAAAGTTCAAGGGACTTGCCCAGAAGTTTTGATCAACTCCCTAAAACATGAAATAAAATTTTGCCCTTCATTTGTCATGTAACAGAAAAATACTCCCAAAATATAAAAATATTCATATTTTACTTATTTTTGGCGTTGCTCTTTTTCATCTCTTAAGGAAAATAAAGTGGCCGTTTGCATGCTAAAATTCATGAGAGTCCTGGAATATGAAAGTAGTTCCTCTCTACTGCTGCCCACTAAAAAGATTCAAAGTTTTGCAGTGTGTTTTGGACAAGCATATCGTTTCTCATGATTTCTTCTTGAGAAGTGTGGGCTCTCCTCAGAAATACACAAAAATAAATCAAATCAGAAGAAACCAACAGTGCAAAATTTTGCAGTCCAGAAATGTTGTTCCCCTTTTGTTGCTCAGGAAAAAAAGTCTCCAAGAAAAAGTTTATAGACTGAGCAGACCTAAAAGCAATGGGTCTGCTGCTAGATAAGATGCCGAGGCTCTGCGCATGCAGGGCCAGGGAGGACACAACATTACATTTGTATGTATTGGAAAGCTGCACTTCGGAATGGAGCTACTGTAAGTTTTGTTATTTCAAACTGCAGGGCTCCAAAATCACAAACCAAGAAAAAGAGTAAGAAGATGAGGGAAGGTACAACTTTTTTTTTTTTTTTTTTTTTTTTTTTTTTTGGTAGCTCTTTACGTGGGTCAGTTATGATGACTTGAAGGCTTCAGTAAAATAATGAAGTAAAAAAAAAGAAAGTAGTTTGTGCTTGCAAGATCTTTCTTTTTCAACATGTAAAATATTTCTCTTCCTCTATTTCCAGTGGTTTGTTATAAAGAATATTTCTTTTTTTACTGGTTTTAGTAAGTGTCAGTTTATTAAAAACAGTCTAGAGGGCAACTCTGTTAGCAGGTTCCAGAGCATAAGATGGACTCAGGAAAACAGAGCTTTTTGGTAATTAATGATGCATTTATATGATTCCCAATGGGAGGATGAATACTTATAGAACTGTTGCTTAAAACATAATTAACATTTTATTTTAATAAAACAAAGAAGTCTAAATATCTACCATGAGAGTAACGAACCTCAGCTGCAAATTTAATCGTTACTATGCAAGAATAAAAAGTATCCCAATGAGAATAATAGAGTGGAAATAGCTTTCTAATCTATGGTCCACTTCTGCTCAAGACAGCAATGTGCTTATTAAGAAGAACTTCAAATATGCGTGTCAAGGCTATCCTGAAGACTTTCTCCAAATTGGGGCTAAAGTCTTATTTTAACCCTTATTGCTCTTTTTTTTTAAATTTTTATTCTTGCATCAACAACATCAGCATTTAACAGTATTAAAACCAAACAGGACAAAATCCCACTAACCTAGCCCATAGCAATACTGCATTCCCAGTTCCCAGAGGTGTCTTATGAATTAGGTCAATTGATAGAGCTCTTTGTATGAGCACCAATTAACATGTTTAATCAGCCTGAATCTGAGTCATCGACGAAGAAAAATTCAAGTTGGAAGGTCCCTCTGGAAGATGCCTAGTCCTAACCTTGGGTTGACAAAAAAAGAGTCTTTTAAAAAATTGCTGTACCCTCCCTCTCCAAACAGGGCAACTTCACAGCCAGCTCAAGAAAGCAGAACTCTTCCTTCACCATACAATCTACCAAGTTTAGCAAATACACCGATTAGAGGGGCTAACATTTGATTTACCACTGAGGTTTTAGAAAATCTTCCCAGAGACCTTTCAAAAAGAGGGTTTAGAAAGAAAAGCATGGAAACCACATTATGACAGGAATTTTTGAAAATCCTTTTGCACTGGCAGAAACAGTGTCCGATTGCCACACTTATACGTGACCTGTATTCATGCATTCATGCCCACACAACATGTCACAGGATAACTTGGCATGACTGTGCCCTGGAGAGGAAAGCACACGGATGACTAAGGCTTTCAGAACTTAACCTTGATGAGCACCTCCACACTGAGGATCTATTTATTTCAAGTCAGTCGGCCTTCTGCTGAGTTGACAGCTTTTACTTTCAACTGTCTTTGATGCATGTGTGCAAACTCTTTATAACCAACTCAGTGTCAGAGGGGAAAAAACAGAGTGAATTCTGCTCAGTTCTCAGGTTCTTAGTTGTACTCACACTCTTTAAGTTTTTTTTGGTGTTACAGCTAAAAACCTTGTTATGTCTCTGAAATAACATCTATGTGCCAATTTCTGTATCTTTACTATAGAATGATGCAACTATTTTTAAGGTCAAAGCTCGTAAAGTACAATAAATAACGAGGGTTAGACAAGTACAGGTGAATGTAACAAATGCTTTATATAGAAGAGAAGCCACAGTCCTCCTGCATACGTATAAAAAATTAAGAGGTACCAAGACCAGCTAAATCAGAATAACAATTCTGTCCTAATTCTTGCTTAATTCAATAGGCAAAAAAGATTTCACAGCTTAGATTAAAGTTGCAGCATAATGAGTTTCTCTGAAGTTAATTATTGAGCCTAGACTAAATCCCTAGGTTCATTCTTTGATATCCCATTTAAACTGAGAGGAAAACAAGCAGCATACTGAGTCACTATATCTTCAATCTGGGTTCCTACTCTATGTGGTAAGGTACAGAAAGGTCTGTAAATCAGACCCTTCCTTTTGCTTTAAAAGGTATACCTACAAGACAAAGAAATTTTTGTGAATAAGACCAACAGTCATAAGCTGTGTAACCACTTGAAGACTCATTTCACAAAACTGTCAAAGGGCAGGAACTACCCCTTAGTTGACTGGGGAAAAAACGGAACATTAGAATATATAAATATTTATATACATTTTAGAAAGAAGGCTACGAAAGCAACAGCAAAATGTTGTAATCTTTTGCTTACTCTTATTCTTGACAGAGCTTATTTACTTTTCTCCTTTGTTTAGTAATAATTAGTGAAGCTGACACTCCAGCTCTGTAGATCCTGGCATGTTTTTGAGATGTCAACCCTCCAGCCTCATTATGGGGTTTCCCAAGTGCCACGGCATGTGCTTTACATGCTATGACAGGGACTTGTTCAGTAGTTAGTGATGCCACATTACACATCACATCTGTGGAGAGTAACCTTCTCTGGCAGGTGAAATATAGTACGCTAATTAATTCAATAGCAATGTTATTTAGGAGGAATAAGCATTTGTAAGATGCTGGCAAAAAGAAATATGGTACAACAGCTGAACATGTCTTACAATCAAGTTTTAAATAGAAAATTTAAATAGAAAATTGTCACTCAGGATTTCAGAGTTTTCTCAATGCTGAAAGAATATAAAAGGACTTCTCACAAAGCAGTTCTGCACTTTCTAAGACTTCAGTCACTAAAAAAAATCTTCATAAGTCTGAAGCTAGACAATAATTTGCTGCTAACTTCAGATAACTAATAATTTTTGTACATTAAGTAATTCTTTTATACACATATGTCTACAGACAACTCTTAAGAAAGTGAAGAAGATATTTTTCCCTTGATAATTTTGTAATAAAATACTTCAGCTTCCAGTTTGGACATGGCTGCAGCTAAAATAAAAACCAGCATTAGTTAGCTTTACCTTTAGCTTCACTTAAAACCGAACCAAAGGCACTGATCACCACATCAGCTTTCAGGCGGACAACCTGATCCTCATCTTCTTTCCAATTTCCATCTTCATCTTGTTCAGTTCGAACAAACTCCATAGCAACAATTTGTTCACCTCTAAGAACCACTTTTCGAGGGGAGAGAAAAGGCAGAAATTCACATTTCTCCTCTCTTGCAAGTTCCATCTGTAGAATAAAGGTAAATAAATATCTGAAATATTGTTTTGTTTTCATAACAAGTTTTTGACTCATGATGCCACCAGATATTCTTACTTAGTAGAATGCATCTCTCTATGGCATACACATAGTCATCTTAACATCAATTTCAGTCTTCAGTGCTGTTGAATCAATCACTTCTACATAGTGACACTAAGCAGATTTACAATGGAAATATTTTTCTGATATATTTTTTTCTTATCATTCCCTGTTAGCTTTAACACATCCTTTAAGGGGAAAAGAGTTACCTTATGCAACCATGGTGGTTTTTTTGTTGTTTTGTTTTGTTTTTTTACAAAAGCCCACTATTAATTAAGAAGATGAGATCAGCGTTCCCTGCAATTTTAAAGCAGATTTGTTATCACATATTGAATATCATGTATTATAAATAGCTTTCTGAGTGACAACAAAGACTTAAGATTTTCTGAATCTTAATCTGATAAGGTAAAACCCCAGCCAAAATCAAGCAACGTTTTCTTGCAGGAAGATCTTCAGGACTTGATTGTGTTTATGTGACATATGACGTACCACTTTCGTACACTGAATATCCTATCTGACCTTCTTGTGTGGCCACTTCTAGTTCAAGATATTTTGATTTTACAACTTTTACAGCCACTCTGTGACTCGGTCAGTAGGTACATCAGTGATTTTTAAGAACCTACACAGGTTGCTAACAAAGACCTGGGCACACTGCAATGACTGACTCCTGCTTAGCAAGAATCTGCAAAGCACAACGTCTTCATTGCAATGCATTCCAGAACCTCATTACCTGTGTCTAGAAATCTGAAGGGCAACAGAAACTGAAGTACATTACACAGCAAGAGACCCTCTATTCCTTTTTAAGCTTTTCCATTCCCCTTGTGTAAGTTCTACAAGATATTCACATTCTTGAAGAGAGAGAATTAAATCCCCTTCAGTTCCATGATGAAGATACATTACAGTTCCTGTTACTGAAATTACACAAGAGTGTAAAGTAAGCCCCAAATAAATTACGATGGAAAAAGACCACCCAATTAAAAAAAAAAAGTTCCTCCTGTAGTAATACAGATACACTGAAAGGCCAAGTCAAGTTCAAAATATGCAGATGTAGGGAGAAATGCCAAACTGCAAAGCCAAACTAAAAAGCAGATCAACCAACTGAAATATGTGATGGATGACGTGGCTTCATTGCCATTGGCAGGGATTCAAAAACAACATCACTGTAATAATTTCCTTAAAAATTTTTATAGATTCCCAAGACAATGATACGATCACTGACATTCATTAGGTAGCAGCCAGAAAATTTCATTCGAGGACCTATGACCTGAAGAGTCACCTACAATACTCATATGGCTGCTTTAGTTTGGAAATGCTTCATTTCTGGAGTTCTTCCAGGAGTTTAAGAATTTTATATTTTCTAATTTATAAGAAATTCCACCCCCCTGCCTGCAAGTGCAAGTGCTCTGACTTTACAGTGGAGGGTACATGTACAATAGAGAAAAATGACTTATACAGAGCTATAGATACGACCGTTCCTTTGATAAACATTTACATTTAAGATTAGGGTTTTTTTTTTAGAAAAGTTTAGTAGCTATATTTTAAGTACCTACAGAGCACAGTTTTCAGCCCTACAGAAAAAATAACATTAATAATTAATATTTTTTCACATATGCTATTATTCAGTTTTACCTCTTCTGGGACAGCCCTGATATTATTGAATCCCTTTCTGAATACCACAAATACGCGACGGGCTCCACAGCGCAAGGCAGATGTTGCACAGTCAAAAGCCGTGTCTCCTGCCCCGAGTACTATCACAGTTCCACGTATTGATGGCAATGGAGAGCGACAGGCACACATCCCTGAAAGATGAAAGGAAAACCCCATTTTCAAGAAGAGAAACCATTTCTGCATGACAGCTTAAAAGATACTTTTAGACAAAGCGGTGTAAAATTGCATCTTTCAGTTTCCAAGCATGCAGTGTCACTATCAAATTATTGTGCTTCACTGAAAGACAGTTTTATTCCCATTTTTAAGATACACTCATATACATAATTTCCTAGTCAGTACTGTTAAGAGGCAACACCTTTCTGTCTGAGAAGGATATAAGCTCCAACACATTGGTAAGTCTGAGGTCCTGTCAGGTTAGCATTGTAACATCTTTTTACTCAAAAATTAAATTCTTTTCATTCACCTCTCTCCCCATTTAAAAAAAAAAAAAAAGCTACAAAAGTAGCTGCAAATGTAAAGTAACTACAAAATGTAGCTGCAAAAAGCTACATCTAGAGAACGATGACATTACATATTTGTTAATCACTCTTTTTGATGATTCACACAAGAAATTCTATAGTAAAATTGCTTATGTGGACTACGTAGACTTGACTGCACTTCATCAGTTTAAACATAACTGTTGATTAGACAAATTATTGCAATTTTAAAAAATAATATCAAAGTCTAAAGATATTTTCTCAATGACCCTCCAATAATTCAAATCACAAGAGGTTAAGCTGACCATATAACTACCACACTCTACTACTCTCAGCATTCTACTGCTCTGAGTATCCTGCTATATCCATAGGAGATTTTCAAACACAATCGCAAAAAAACTTCACTGTCTAGTTCAAGGATACTGTGTCTTAAATTCACACATATAAATGGAAGGAGAACAGACATCCTACCACTCGGTTTGGTTATTAACAGATAGTAGCAACGACATTGAACTCTATTACTTTCAGGCAGAAAAGGGAATTTCTCCGCTATTTGTAATTTTTTTTTTTTAAGTAGACTTAGTATACAAAATACTGGCAAACAGGGAGTACTACTTCACAACATTTTCCAAGATGTTGATTCCAGTACTATAGACACTTACGCAGGCAGTAAACAAAGTACATGAGTTTGACACGCTCGTACAGAATTCTTAAAGTATTTTTAGACAAACTAATACAAAAGGGATTGTTTAGGAGGATTTACTTTTCCTTTGTTAATCAACAAATGTATTATTGTACATATTCCCAGTCTGTTTCTTTTTAGCCATTTCTTCAAAGTAGCCTTTCCTCCCAACTCATTTGAGCTCACAGAACCAGACAAAAATAAACTATTAGATCAAAACAGCAAAGAAATGGGACAGATGGGATACACAACAGATAGAATTTCCCTTCCTAAATATTTTGTATAAAAGGAGGTAGTAAGCTTGATTTGCAGAATTATTCATTTTCCGTAAGACATAAATACTTCAAGATGCTGTTTACAGAAAGTCTATTAAATAAACAGGCAGCTCTATTTGATGCTAAAGTTTCCAGATGGTCCAAAGAAATCCAGTTTGTAGACAAAAAAGGTACATGTGTGCTTAAATATGTGGTCCTACGTGTAGGACCACATACAGCACTGAATATATATAAAAAAACTCTACATTTATTTATACCTCATTAATACTTTGAGGAATCTATACCATGAATGAGTGTGGTATAGACATCGAGAGGTCCCTGTGAGGCACCTGTGTGGGGGCCCATGACCTGGCATTCAGGGCTACCAAAAGCAGCTATAGAGCTTCTTGTATCGCAAACGCAGGCAAATCTGCACTCAAAAGGACTTAAAAGTAAAAAGCAAGATTATATTTCATGTCTGTGGAACTGCGTGTTGCCTTATTAGGCCTCTATTATCCTATCCCAAGGAATCCTGAGTCCTTAGACTGTACTTTAGGTAAGAGACCAGTGCTTCCTTAAACATATCTGCAAAATATACAGCATGACTGATTTAGAATCATTCTGTCACAGGTAAAATCAGTTAGAACATTCAAAGCAGCCACTTTCCAGGATTGGCAACATTTTGTTCAACGTCAGATCATTTCAAGATCACCTTAGATTCACTATATGATATTTACATCACAATAGTAATTTACAGAAGAAGGTTATGACAGCTGTTGAATATATAACATAAACAAAACTTAATAAGGAAAGCAAACTGTCATGTGCTTATATATTTATATAACGTATCTTTATTTACTTTACAATCTCTGTGATTGACCATGCGGACCACTCTCCTTAGGTTGTAGATCATCAGGAGGAAATCCTGCCCAAGATCTGCTCTTTGGGAGGTATTTCATAATTTCATGTGCTGCTGTATGACATTTTGACATTTGCTGCTGTGCATTTTGACATATCAGAAACATCGAATGACTTACTGGCCAAGATTACATATCATTACACACCTGGTTTACTTGCCATTGCCACCAAAGGTAGAAAGTCTTTTGATGTGTAGAATCCTTGATCCATTCTCAGTCCTTGGAACATACTGTCTCGGTTCGGTTCTGGTAAACCTAAAATAGACATTTTAAAGCAATCAGAATTACAGGAGAAACTGCAATGACAAAAATATGTTTCATATTACATAAACATTCTCAAAACCTTCTCAATACAAGCACTTTCACAAACCTCAGGTGTGAAGCAGGTGTGAAGAAACACTGCAAATGACTGCATCATCTTCATGCTTACAATGTGCAGATCACTGGTACGCTTTTAATAGTACTGAAAGTTAAAACCATTCGATAACATATGCATGTAAGTCACAGAAAATCAAACGCAAGAGCAGGGGGTAGAAAAAAAATGATACATAAGATTCAGAAGCAGAGAAATTGCTGGGGAAGATAAGACAGTAGCAAACCTTTTTCGTATTACCTTCACATTCATTTAACTTTTACTGCTGTGAATTGCTTTTTTCCTTTTGTGGCTTTTTTCCCCCCACTCTTAATACACGTAGTCCACAGGTAGCCTAAATAAAGCAATATTCATCATTTTAATAAGGAGTGGGGCAAAAATGACACTGTTCTGTTTTGTGAAAAATCTGTATGTCATCAATTGTGGCCATTTCTGATTGTTTTCTCAAAATTGCAGGGGGCCCTTATTTGCTGACATTTATTTGTAGCTATTAATAACACACATGTATGCAGAAGCAGTAGGACACAGCCAGGGAACAGTGCAAAAGTATCTGTCCTTGGTCAGATTTATCACTAACTCACTGAAATAAAAGGAGATGGATTAAGGATGTATTGAATCCAATAATGTTTAGACTGACTGCTATGATAAAAAAAAAAAAAAAAAAAGAAACACAGACACACAAAGCAGGAGCCAATATAAGTGGCATTTCCTGCTATTTATACTACTGTTTTGCAGGAAGCTGCAGGAAACCCAATTTTGCAACATTTTCATTTGAAGAAAATGCAAAGGATTTCTCTTGTGTACCTATAACCATCTGGCAGAGTTTCAAGCTCTTTACTAAGTATCCACTGTAAGTTCTACTAAATTATAATGTGCATTATTATTGCCCTTGCTGCATTATTATTTGCTCTGCTACTGAATACATTTATTTCATTAAAAAGGACAGAATTAATATGTTATAAAAGATACTAGCACAGCTAAGAAAGAGGCAGACAGAAAAAGACAGAGAAGGATCAAGAACTGGTGAGATCCACTTTAGTGAGACACTATTTCATAATAAACAGCCACCCAACAGAAGTAGGCTTTACAGACAGATCAAATATTGATAAATAGCCAACAACCTCCCAGGAGAGAGAACATTTGAAGAACCAAAAACAAAACAGCTACAGAGCAAAGACATAGTTGAAAGCAAACAGTTTCACAGAAAAAAAAAATTTAAATAAAGTCATCTATGAAAGATGGAATTTAGGTCAAAATAATGACCCACAAGATAAATTATTTTGAGACCATTCTCTATCCAAGAGAAATACGCTTTAAAGATGAATTAAAGAGATCCTTTACCAAGAGGGAGTTCACCAACTAGTACAACATAGCCAGGAGCCACTCAAGAAAAAATGCTTAGAAAAACATGAGCTCCTTCCCCTTGCTTTTACACTCATGTTAGTTTTAGTCAGTTCTCTTTTCTCCAAACTCACCTGCAAGCCATCTAAAGGCTTTTTCTTATTATTTGGTATTTCCTATCCTGAAACAATCTTCCGTTACTGCAGCTCTTGTGTTTTTAACCCATACCAAGGTCTGGTACTAACAATTACTTCCTTTGCTGGCAGTGAACAACAGCCTAAAAACACAGCCCTGCCAGTGCCACTCTGAAGGAGTCTGCAAGCAGCTATGCAAGGAGCAGGCTGCTGTAAAACCACTGCCTGCCACAGCCAAAGCTCTCAAGGTATCTACGTATATATACACATATATGCATGTATATATACATATATATATATCAAGCATATGCATATATTTATATGTAACAGTATCTACATATATGTCAGGGCTTTTTATTCTTTGCTCTCACATAATACTCATGCATGCTAATTTGCCCAACGAGAAGTGTCAAGTTCATGACCTTTATTTACAGGGAGTCCTCTTAGACTTTTCTTTTACCCTCCCTTCCAGCCCAACGCAAGAAGCAGTAGCTGCAATGACCCACGCACAGGGCAAAGAACCGGCCTCAAGAGCAGCGTCAAGAGCAGTGCACCTAGTCCAGCTGGCTGCTGCACCAAGTAAATCAAGGCTTGTCAACACATCAGTGAGCAAAGGAAAAAGAAGAATTTTTGCTGCTACTGTCCCAAGCTGGAAAGTGGAAACAAAGCTCCGTGTTTCAATTGCTTAAAGCTGATGTGTTTTAAAATTAATTTCTAAATTCACCATTCCTCTTCTGAAAGTTTCCTTAATAGCAGGAAAGGCTAACATACCTGTTTGGTACAATCTCCCTGCCCTTTTATGCACTGATCTTTCCAACTCGCTCCTTGTGTTCCCATATAAAATTATTTCAGATATAACACAGTGTCTGATAACATTCTGACTCGGCAAGAATCTTATGGATACAGGTAGCTTATGGTCAGAGGATGATTACAAAGGTGCCTGACAGAAAAAGAAGGGAACATATCGTAAATTCAAAGTACATAGGCATCTTTAATATTCCTGAATGGTCTGTTCTTCTTCAACAAGTCTGGTTTGTGGTCTGGCAAAGTGGGGATCAAAATCTATGTATACAAAGCAGTTTTATTCTATGTCACACAATCCATGAATTGCATGAACCCATGAATTTTAAGTACGTTAAAGTATTTTCTTGAAAGATCGCATTGAAACTATATCCTCTTAACCAACAGATTTAGTTTTCCCTACTTGCATTTGGTGGCATATTTACCTATTTGTTTAGGTCTAGGGGAAGGCGTCACGCGGACGCGGCGCCTCGCTGTCCCGCAGCCGCTTCCGCTCAAGGCACCATTTCCATTCACATTACGACAGACACCAGAACAGGACCTGAAACCATTGGCATCTGAAGAGCTACTCCCTGCACCTTTCTAAAGGGTTGATGCTGAAAGATGAAGCTCTCAGCAAAGTTGCAAACGCTCTGCAGGTGCTCAGCTTCTCTCAAGGTCACTCCATTAGTGATTAACACATTAGTAAATAGTTTTGAGGCTTATATTTTAAAAGGATCTCTCTCATTTTGCCACAGAATGCTTTTTTCTATGATGGTAGCTTTGTTCCTTCCTGTTGTGAGGTTCAATAGAGTATGTTTTCTAGGTGGTTGATTTTTTTTTGTTTGTTATGTATGTCGATGGAGATAAGTGTTTTAATTACTTTTTTAATGTCTATGCTTTTGTATTTTCCTCCTCTCTCCGTTTATTTCCTGCTGTTGAGATTACTGCCTCATCTCCACAGCAGGTGGCTCTTTCAAATTTGTTTTCTTTGTAAGCCTGGTAGATTTATTTTGTAATATAACTGCTCTTTTTTACTATTTTTTATTAATGATTTCTTTACTTTGGAACGGGGTATACTTGCAAGGTCCATAAGAGTAATTCCTTAATGATGGCTAAGGGCTTTGTTTATAGGAAAGGACACCTAGGTTACTGCTTTCTTCTCCTCACGTTAGGATGAGTGCTGCCTACAAATATGTGAAAGAAGGTCCTCAAATCTATCAAGGAGATCCACAGACAATTGCCAGAATACATACTACAATGTACAGTAACTTGAATTACAAACCACGCAGCCTTATGGCCAGTTCTCACAGCATTTAGGAATCCCATGATCAGACCAACTTGACATCCATACAGAGCGAAATGCCCAAAGGCAAATTATTTTTAGATTTAATGGGCCTAAAAAGAAATAACCTCTAGCTCTAATTTTATAATTAGTCTGTTTTTTCAAGGTTTTGCGTATCTTCCACAGCCTACTTGTAGCCTTAGTTGTTCTCAGTAATTCTATTCCTGTCAACACAAGGGACCTGGGTCCTCTATTTGGAGTATTATTGGAGTAACACAGCAGCATGACTGGGCTAATGTATTTTACTGAAAATCACTGGGGTGTTTCAGGATGATTAAGCAAAGATCTGAAAGAGCAGTGTGGTGGTTTTGTAATCCAGATAAGTGCCAAAGACTTAACTATCCGGGAGAGCTCAGCATTTACTCTTAAAAGCACTCCTTTAAATTGCATACCTCAGGACAGAAGTATACAGAATTGCTACACATTTTTGGAAAAAAATCTTTAAAGAATACTCTTGAAGAAGCAATACACTTTCCTAAAAGTAAGGAGCAAATGGCAATTCTCCTATTTCTTCTCAGATTAGAAAGTAATATTTAATGCTGCCCATATTCAAAATAATAGGCAAAGTGAGGATGCCAGTAGGTTAAAAGGAAGTCCCTTCCAAAGAGTATGCTGGAATGGAACGATTCCAATGAAGTAAACCTCATCACAGAAAAGGATGAGTGCAGAAGTCTGCTTACCTTCCCCTGGGCTCTGTTCTGCCCGCTACTGTTTATTGCAAGACGTAAGATACTGAAACAGTTTGTTATGCATCTTGACTTGTGGAATATAAGAGTTCTGTACATTGTAATACAGAATAACTGCAGAACATCTGCTGTAAAAAATAAAGTGGAATATTGCCGCAAAACGTTCTTATGTCATCTTAGCAATATTTATTACAACTGGCTAGAAATCTGAAAAGGTCACTAGCAAAACGGCATTTAGTAGTTTCAGCCAAATCCATCTCTAACAAAAATATGCCATTCCACCCAGAAAATGAGCTTTCTCCAGTCTACTTAAAATAGAGCCTGACTGGATTTTCAGTCCCAATTGGAATCTCGGTCACTTCTCACAACTGGGACAAGCTGTCGTTACTCAGGAGCATCCTTGAACTGGCATAGCAGGGGTGCTGAAGTTTTAAGATTTGACATGCTAATATTGTCACTTCCTTTCTCTCTTCCTTCTGCAAGCATGTTCTGAACACTAACCTGCCAAAGGAAAGACCCAGGGGGCCGTATTTCCTCCAGACACCAGCCAGATACTATTTGTCAGTGCAATACCCAGCCCTACACTAAAGGAGCAG